ATAGCTTGACTCCCTCTTCTTTATGGCAGCCCCTCAGATATTGGAACACTGCTATCATGTCTCCCCTGTTTCTTTACTAGACTAGCCATGCCCCATTCCTGCAACTGTTCTTCATATGTTTTAGCCTCCAGTCCCCTAATCATCTTTGTTGCTCTTCTCTGCACTCTTTCTAGAGTCTCAACATTTTTTTTAATAGTGTGGTGACCAAAACTGGATGTATTATTCTAGGTGTATTGCTATGATGAGCACCTTTCTCAGGATCTGGCCAGTATCCTGCTGAATGATCTCAAAGTGGACGTAGATGCCCCATAGGGGAAAGAAATGCTCCCTTTCTTGAAGGCCATCAAGGATAGAAGCAACTTTATTTTTATTTTTAATCAAATTTATATGACTGCCAATCTCACAGAAAGTGTCTCCAAGTAGCCTACAACAATTCCACTAAAACAGCAAAATACAATTTTAGCCTGTAGGAGAACAGCATGATTTTACATGCTTTTGATTTATAATTTCTCTACCCATAATAAACCCTTCAGGCAGGCCATAATATATCAAAAACATTTTTAAAAAGCCCAGTTCTTGTCCTTCATGCTGTTCCTGTCTGCCGTTGGCTTTAATAATTGCCTACTGCTTCTAAAAGTTGAGCTCTGGGGAATTGCAGGCAGTTTTGTTTATTTCAAAGTTATCTTTATTTTACTTTTCTACCATATGTTTCCCTTACAGATCTGACCAATCAGAGTTACAGAATGCTTTTTGCTTGGCAGTCCCATAGCTAACACATTCTTAGTAACCTTGACTATCTAGCCATGAACTGTGGTTAGCATATTTTAGAGAACTGACTAAAGGTTGCCTTCTTCTCATACTGGAAAATTTTATTTATAAAGTTGGTTGATATCCGGCATAAAAATCAAAAGGAGTGTGGATGAGGCTTGGCTGGAGTGCAGTAGTATTGTCTTGTTTGTGTTTTCCTGGGAAGGGTGTGCGGTTTATATGAACAAGTAAAAGTGTAGGGACCCTAAAGATACCTCCTATTAAGAGTCCAAATTTCTAGTTTTAATTTTGCTGAATACTTTAAGGACAAAAACATTCAGAAGGAAGATTTAAGACATTACAAGTTGTTTCCCTATACTGGTGTTGTCCTCTCCCCATCCTCCCAATATGGCTGTAGCTGTATTAGTTGAGGAGAGACACAGATGATGTCAGCTACAAGGAGGAGATAAGTTTGCAAAAAGCCAAATTAAATAGTAGTCCTTGAGTATTATGACCACAATTGAACCCAAAATTTCTGATGCTGCTATATCCAATTGTTAAGTGAGTTTCACCCCATTTTATGACTTTTTCTCACCACAGTTAAGTGAATTGTGGCACTTGTTCAGTTAGTAACATAGTTGTTAAGTGAATTTGGCTTCCCCATTGACTTTGCTTGGCAGAAGGTCACAAAAAGCTGATCACATGACCCTGGGACATTGCAGCTATCATAAATATGAGTCAGTGGCCAAGTGTCTGAATTTTGAACATGTGATCAAATGCTGCAACGGTCATAAGCGTGAAAAACGGTCATAAGTCACTTTTTTCCGGGCTTCCAGCTGTGATGTCATAGTGGAGCAAGTGAAGGATTGGCAGCTCCATTCACTTTGCCCGAGTTTTTCTGTGGGAGATCCAGAAAAAGGCAACGTCAATCCCGGAGGGATCGACAGGAGAAGCTCTGGGGACGTCAAGGAGATAGGCAATCTCTTCCCAAACGGACGAGAGAAACCCCTTGAAACCAACAGAAAAGAAATCAGCCCCTCTGGTCAATTCAGAGCTGTGACACCCGCAGATGAGGAAGGGAATATAAACGCAACACGACAACATCGGAGAAAGAAATAACATCTAAAAATGGTAAAATATTTATTTATAAAAAGTGTTAGCTGTAAAATTGAGGCTCTAAAGAGTCGGGCTGAAACATAGCCCAAAGAAAGTGGCGATAAGGAGAGCGGAGCATTTGATGACTTCCTTTGGCAGATGACAAATTCGTGAAGAGAAGACAGGAGAGAAGGAGGGAAACTCCAGATTGCTATTTAACAGTATTTGGAAATTGGTGTGAACTGTGACTAAGGTGGATAGAAGATTAAGATTAAAAAAATATGCTGTGAACTGTATCAACGGACATACAGTATAAAAACTTGGGGGGGAGGGAGATCTGAAACATTAAATGGAACAGACAACAACAGTGCTATCTAGTGAACTGAGGAATTATAAACTGAGTAAAGAGACTATACAAAGTGACTGATGCAACTTTCTGAATAGTTACAAGGAAAAAAATGGAACTTTTGGAGATTTGATTGCTGAAGTAAGAGGGGAAAAAAACTTAAAGGAATCTGCTTAGGGGAAATTAGAAATTTGGAAAACAAAAAGCAAAACGCAAAACAAAAATATATTTAAAGGAGAGTGGCTTAAAAAAAAGTGGACTATAAGCATTGAATGTAGAATTAGATATATAAGTAGATTGAACTGAATTGTGGATATATGTTAAAATTGAAAGACTGTATTTGATTGCATATGAACTATATTTGATTGTTGGATTGAACATAGGGAATACCAGGAATTGAAAACAAGTTAATATTTAATATTATTCAATATATAAGTGATTAAGGTAGGTAATTAATTTACATACTTATTTAAAAATATATTGATATAGTAACCTGTATAGTTTGGTACCTATTTACTGAATATATAGGCCAAAACCCAGCCTGAAGATGGCAAGTGAGACCTAACTGAAACGTTGCTAAGACAATCTCAATCTTACACGGGAAAAGACCCGAATACAACAAGACCAGCATATATAGATAGATAGATAGATAGATAGATAGATAGATAGATAG